GAGGCGGGGGGCACAGAAGTCGCTTCTTGCGTGACCGATTTAGTCAGTTGAATGTTGGAAAGAGAGGGGGTGGGTGGAATGGCAATGTGTGAGTCGAAAGGTATTTTGCGTGAGGTGGTGGCTAAGTGCTTAGATAAGCATTTAAGTAGGTCTCTCTTAGGGTTATAATGAAACCAGGAGGATTGCCTGCACTTTTCATTTGCAGATTCAATAGTATTGTAGGCAGTGCTGTAATCCAGGGGGAAAACCGCGTCCATTTACCAGTCTGGAATTACATTTTCACTATTTCCTTACCATATGTACTCCTTAGATCAAAAATGTGTAGGCTGAACATATATACACACACACACTTATACATATTTATGGCGTATATATTTATCTGCGGAGATCTAACGAATCCCCACATCTGCATCCGACTGATCTCTGCGAATATCTAAGGAGGAGGGATTATCCATGCGTCGCAAGTCAAATTCCCTTTTCATTCCACCCCCCCCCCCCCCCCCTAATTTGGTGGTAGGAGAGCCTAAATCAGGCCACGACCATCTTGACAAATGCTACTTCAGTGCGCGGTTTTTGTGAGGGGCTAAAAACCTCCGAGTATTGACACATCCCCTCAATCAGTGCTCCCCGAGCCAATGCGTGGAGGGGAACTGGAAGAGGATTGGTGCGTGTAGAATAACCATGACGGAAATTTCACTTAGGGTTTCTACAACACCATCAAATACTTTCAGTCAAATGAATTTGAGTTGAGTATCATTAGAATTCTTTTTCGATGAATCTACCCTCCTTATGAATTTCTGCTTTTCAATACACTTCTGTGGCAACTAATTGGATGTAACTGAAGCCACCAAGATGACTATCTGGGGATATTGTAGAAGGCATTTGATCATCTGCTTCTGCTTGTCAAAAATCCGGTGGGTACGTGGGGGGGGGGGGGGGGGGAATTCGTGAAAAGACAGTTTTGCTGTCCAAAATGGTCTGTCAGTAATTAAAAAAAAACAACGAAAGGTGAGAATACCAATTAGTTTTCCCACACACACACAAAATTCCGATGACAAGTAGAACACGTCATCCAATGTCTTCGTCAAATCACCTCCAACCACGATTCATAACAAAACAAAAAAAAATTGATCAAGTAGAACTCGACTCGTGCTAACCTTCTACTTCAACTTGTTTAGTGGCGTGTAGAGTAATGTTTGCTCTAAGCAGGTGAGGAGTTGCCGTTTTAAGGAGTTCAAACCAGGAGTTTCTATCAATCAATCAACTTAGCTAACCAGTTTGAGACTAATAGAATGGGGAAGCACAAGAGAGTGGTAACAGAAACACAAAAAATGCTTTCAGCTCAAAGTCCTTTATCACCATGACTTTCATTTATTAAAATTATTTATGTTTTCTAAACAATTATTAATTTAAATTAGTACAAATTTCGAAACAAAAGGGCAACAAAGCATAACATAGAGAGTTAACGAGTTTAAAATTTGTTGTTATAAAAAGCAGGAGTATAGATTGGAAACTTAAATGGCTACATGGTTACTAATGCACTTTTGTTGAGATAAAATAAGGAGTCATAGCAAAAGAATATATCAGCGGCAACAGAGACAGGAAGCAGAGTTTATTTGTCAAATTCTCTCCCCCTCCCCTCCCCACCCCACCCCACCCTACTCCCGACAGGTCACTTAGACTCTTGGGATTTTCAATTCGTAGTAGCCGGACTCAAAATACGAGTTTATGTGAGGAATGAGACGTTGTGGTCAAAATTGAATACCCTTAAAGAAGAGGGCCTATAAAGATGTTGAAGGACTTTATCTGCATGCAGAATTGACAATAAATGGTTATGGAAATCGAGTGACTAATTTGAAACTCCTCCAATTGAAAGCAAGAGAGGGAAGGCATATTCTGTTTTTAAAGATGGGTGTGGAAGACAAAGGCGATATATATATATATATCGGTTTGTTATCGATTCCAACTTCAATCTATGCATAAACGGGCTGCTTTACAACCCGACTCTCCTCTTTCATTAACTGGGATATCCCAATCAATTCATAAATATAAGTGCGTATAGGAACTAATGCTATTTACACAAGTTAAGGTCACGAATGTTCCAAATACGGACTTTCAACCCCCCCCCCACACACACACCTTGATAGTTAATATATATCACATTTTCAAATAGCACCCATCGACAAAATTTTAGACAAATTGAACAACATTCCGATGGACAGTCCAATAACCTTTAGTCAAAACAACTATTACATAGGAACTCTCGAACTGGATTAACAAATGTTGATAAGTTCGACCACCAGGTTAACATTACCAATTCATCGTTTCTCCTTGCAATATAATTTGAGATGTAGTTGGTGCGTGGTAAATAGATGGCCAATGAATTCGAAGCGTGATATAAGTGCAACTACCGCGTATGAAGTGAATTAAAATCTCGCTGTCTTAGCATGACAATTTTGAGAACAAAAATGTAACTGCTCAGGTAACCAAGACGCAATTCAAGGAAGGAGCCAAATTTAGTTACTTTGACTATGATAAATTGAAGGTTAATTCAGGCATCAGATTAATTCGACAACAAATTATTTTCAGAACAGACGAAAATTTTACCACCCAATGTGGTAAATGATCTGAAATTTGAGATGGCAAATGAATCGCAAATTAAAATAAAACCAAAAACCACATTCAAGACTGGCTGAAAAGTATCATAAACGAGAATCTACAATATCCTGTTAATTCCTGCGTAAAATATTAACGTTTAACAACGAGTTCAACAAAATTTATTTATTTCAAATGGCAGGCGTTTTGATAACTATCATTAGCCATTTAGCTGACTTCGGGCTTCACAGTGGGATGGTTCATCAAAGTAGCAGAAAGTGTGGGGGACAGAAGAACGATTCACAGATGCAAAAGAGATAGACAGACACAAAGGTAGAGAAAAAGTGAAGGTGAGTACTGTGAAAGTGTTGGAATATGTCATACAGTGGGGTGATGGTAGTTTGAAGTGAGAAGTCAACTCCCGATCAATAGACTTTTTTTGCCGTATGAGTATGCGTTGCCCAGGGTGCACCACATGGAGGCAAGTCTATCGCTCACCCCGGGTTATGTATATATATATCCCAATTATTTAGGGGCGGTTTACCGGAATATTTTCATTTATAACAAATTATTGTCACTTGGCTGACTAAAGCGTAGATCAGTACTGATTATTACGGATAATTCATTAGTTTCTTTAAATCTCAATTTAATTCTTTATTTTACCTTAGATATAACAATGATCTAATATAGTCGGAATAATTTTTTAGCTAACAAGCTCTGGTTAACATATTCCTTCTAAAATTAGTTTACCTTTATGCCTTACTATCAAGAATGTCAAACAATTTTAACCATTCAGAAGACTGAAGGAAACAGCAAATGAAAAATAAATGTTCTCCTAGAAGAAGAGAAATCCCTCTTTATATATCTTCAGTTAGACAGTAAGTATGCCTACCAGGGAATAGAGATGGCATAAAAAACCTCTCCAAACGGAACACCTAGGGCGTTGGAAAGGAGGAAAATTCTTCAAAGAAATACGGTAATCAATCTACACCCGGTAGCTGCAATTAATCAAGAAAAGATGGTGGAATGTGATGAAGAAAAAACTAGGGAGGGTGGGGCGGGGGGGTGGGGGAAGAGAAAATGCAAAAATAATAATGAATGGTTCAAGTTAAACACCAAGATTACCTGTGGTCAATGAGGGCTTCTGCGTCCAAAACCTTCCTCATTCATCAAAGAACCAATATTGGGAATTTTGGCGAATGTTGTGATTGTATAGAGTCAACTCGAAGCCCACCCAATTTGTTGTGGGAGACATCTGCTTCCTGAAATCACACCACCAAAATAATTTCCCAAGCCCTCATCATCATCACCAAATTGCACATTCTATTAGCCTAATTTTAATACCAAATTTAATTACCATAAATTAGAGACTTCAAATGCAAATATTATCACAGACGACGGAAAGGTTTTCAGGCATACGACAAAATTGTAACATTAACCGAATCAGTTTCTTCTCACACATTATTTTGTACACTGCACATATGAGTGCGAGAATTAATTGGAATATAATTTTCCAAGTATATTACAGTTATTATGATTGATTTGTAAAAGGCAACGAAGAAAAATCGAAACAATCTTTTTAAACAATTTTTGTGGATCATTTGCCAAATATGGTGCAGATAGTTTGAAAAAATTATTATTTAAAATGGCCCGATTATAATATTTTTCATTAGCCCCTTAGTTGACCTCATCTTTCCCCAAGTGTGGGGAGTACACATATAGCAGTTAATTAATAGCAGCTCATTAGCTGTCTTCTTGCTTCCCAGCATCTCTCGCTTTCCGTCATTGTCTTTAGAGCTGGACACCGAATCAGGTGTCCTATCGTTGTCTTTAGGGCTGGACACCGAATCAGGGGGGGCTGTCCTTGTCTTTAGAGCTGGACACCGAATCAGGTGGGTCTGCCGTTGTCTTTAGAGCTGGACACCGAATCAGGTGGGTCATCACCATTTCCTCCGCTAGACACCGAATCAGGTGGGTCTTCTCCATTTCCTCCTTTGAACACCGAATCAGGTGGGTCTTCTCCATTTCCTCCTGTATACCAGTATCTTTGGCTTTCCGTACTTGTCTTTAGGGCTGGACATCGAATCAGGTGGGTCTTCTCCATTTCCTCCTCTGGTGAACACCGAATCAGGTGGGTCTTCTCCATTTCCTCCTGTATACCAGTATCTTTGGCTTTCCGTACTTGTCTTTAGGGCTGGATCCCAGTATCTCTGTCTTTCCGTCGTTGTCTTTAGGGCTGGACATGAAATCAGACTCCCTTGTCTCTAGGGCTGGACACCGAATCAGGTGGGTCTTCTCCGGCTAGACACCGAATCAGGTGGGTCTTCTCCATTTCCTCCTTTGAACACCGAATCAGGTGGGTCTTCTCCATTTCCTCCTGTATACCAGTATCTTTGGCTTTCCGTACTTGTCTTTAGGGCTGGATCCGAATCAGGTGGGTCTTCTCCATTTCCTCCTGCAGGTTAAATAGAGGGCATGTGGGTTGAGTATATACTCAAGTAGGTTACACAGAGGGCATGTGGGTTGAGTGTATACTCTCTTAGATTAAGAATCAGATGGGTCTTCTCCATTTCCTCCTGTAGGTTTCACAATCAGATCTTCTCCATTTCCTCATGTAGGTTACATAGGGGGCATGTTGGTTGAGTGTATACCAGGTGGGTCTTCTCCATTTCCTCCGCTAGACACCGAATCAGGTGGGTCTTCTCCATTTCCTCCTTAGGTTACATAGGGGGCATGTGGGTTGAGTGTATACTCCCACGTTACATGGAGGGCATGTGGGTTGAGTGTATAATCCCAATTTGTGAGGCCAGATCGTGTCCGGTACGTAGTCTAAACTCAGCAATGGCTTCGGTTCTTGGCCAGTCGGCTATGTCGGAGGGTGATACTGT